TTTTACAGGGAATTGAACTCAGGAGCACTCCACCACTAAGCCACATCCTCAGCCCTATTTTGTATTTTATTTAGAGAAAGGGTCTCACTAAGTTGCTTAGCTCCTCATTGTTGCTGAGGTTGGTTTTGAACTCACAATCCTCCTGCCTCAATCTTACAAGCCACTGCGCCCAGCCAGTTCAATACTTTTTAGGCCTGATCTTCGCCTTATATACAGGTATCTCTTCTGCCTAAATCAGTCAAGAGGATACTGGGCTGAGAATCAGAAACCCTACAATCTAGCTCCAATTCTTTTTCTAATTCACTGTGACTGAACAAATAATTTCACCTTCTTGAACCCTAGTTATCAGATCTGTAAAATTAGGGTGATCGTATTTGCTCTTCTGAAGGACCAAAGATGATTTACAAGAACAAGTTAACTGTTGACATCTATGGCAAGATATGAAGTGGTAATGAAGGAAGACAGGAATGACCTCTATAATAACCTTTTCAGTTAAAAGAATCTTCTGAGTGAAAAGAATCTTCTGAGTGAAAAGAATCAGGAAACACTAGGGCAGACAGACTCACTGTCTATACCACCATCAAAATTAGGCACCCTCAAGACTAGAAAAAGTCCAAAAACTATATGCACACAATCCCAATAGGTACAAGCAGACAGAAAATTAAGAACCAGTAGAAGTCACAGATTATTCAGGGAAAAGTGTCAGAAAGGTAAAAATAACCAACTTAGTGGTAAAGAGCCTATGCTCTAGATTAAGAGACATCTGGGTTTGAATATCAGCTCTGCTTCACTGGCTTTGTAACCTTAGGCAATACACTTATTTCCATGCCTCAGTTCCCTACATTTGATTTAAAAGGTTTCTGCTTCAGAAATGTGTTACCAAGAAAGAAATGATATGCCGTGGGAAAGCCCTATATCAGAGCCCAGCAATAAGTACTCAATGATAAATACTGTTATTCCATTCAAGTAACACAAAAGGATAAATACAAAGCAATAAAAAAGTTCTAAGGGAGAAAAATGTAATTTGCTACTACTACCTATGTATAATGCCTTGCGCCCAAAGCCTTAATTATTCTCATTTATTCCTAATGACCTTTTAATGCCACAAAAATTATCCCCATCTTACAGAAGAGGAAGCCAAGCCTCAGAGAAATAGAAATACCTTGTCTAAAAACTACACAGCTGGAAAGTAGAAATGACTGGCACCCAGATCTGCTCCAAAGTGTCCTTTCCCTATATATATTGCACTTTCTTATTCCCAAAGACCTCCTTTCATATCAAAATAGGTGCCAATGACAAAGTGTTAGATCAAATTCTCTCATTTTGTACTTGGTTTTGCATGCCTGGAACAAAGATGGGCAGGGACGAAATCCAAGTACACCAACAGATAGGGCTTGATAAATCAGGTCCTCCTTAGGAGGACTCCTAAGGTCTCTCTTATTGAGAGCTTACAGAGGCTTTTACCACAACCTAAAGAAATGTTACAAGTAGGCCTATTCTGAACCAAAATACCTGATCAAAACA